CAGTGTCACTTTAATCCATGGATTAACTCAGGTAGTCTTTAGCCTAAACTGGACAAGGAGCAGCTGGAAAACATGAAGAACAAGATCAAGACACAGTTATAATAGTCATTATTAACATAAATGTTGGCAGGGATATTAAAACTCATATTCAAAGCTTAAAGTGGGGATCAAGATGATGTCTAATGCATATATCCAAGTCCTATAGGCTGCAGGGCATCCCCCCACCGAAGGGTATTTGTCTGAGGTTAACTCTGTGGTCTTTGCAAGCAACAGATGGACACTTGTGTGAGTTAGATGTCACAGGCTGAAAACCTTTAGGCTTGATAAAGATCACCAAACTCTCCAGGTATGTCCCAGAGAGCAAGAGCAGCTGGTCACAGCACAGGTAATGTCACCAGCTCTCATCCTAGTGAAGGCACAGCCTGTTTCATGTCAGCTGCACAGTATAAACCAAGGCTAAAGTGAGGGACAACCAGGCTCTCACCCAGTACTCTCCATCCCCTGATTGCTCATGCTATGAGGAGTGCACTGTGCTCATCTCATGCAGACAAGGCCTATGGAAAAACATACGGACATGCTCTAGGTTTCATGGAGCAATAGGAACCCTTCAGCCAGGAAGACACTGCTTGTACCTCTGGAAGCAGTGTAAGCCCTGAGGGCACAGCTAATGAAGGGGTTGGGGAGGGCTAAGCTCACCCCCAGAGCCCAAAAACACATCAAGGAAGGGAAGCCCTCAGCCAGCATGGACAGAAGAGGCTGGGGATCAATCCCCAAGGGCCAGCTTGCTCCTCAGCACAGTCACTGAAGGACTACTAACACCTTAGCTCTCTGCTTTGCTGCAGGGTCGTGGTTGTCTCCTCTCTTCCTTGCTGTGATCGCTCTGGGACTGCAGTGGCCACAGGAAGCTGCGACCTTCCCAGCCATGCCCCTTTCCAACCTGTTTGCCAATGCTGTGCTGAGGGCTCAGCACCTTCACCTCCTGGCTGCTGAGACATACAAAGAGTTCGTAAGTGTTGTGGCCTCCAGGCATCTCCGCCACATTGGTTTGATGGTTTCAGGACTGTATAACTTCCTAGAAACAGAGACTTCTCAACTATCAGCTCTTGATGAGGAGAATGGGTCTTGATAGGATAGGACAGGGCCTGTCCCCACCTCTGATCCTGCACAGTTCCCTCCTCAGGGCTATCACTGCCAATGTCCAGACCTGCAGCACAGGCTGAGATCTCTCTCAAAGAGAAACATGAAGCAGTGGGAAACAGCACAGATATTTTGCAAGACTTTCCTGTGTCAATTCCCTTTGGCCCTGGGCAAGTCTGAGTGC